TCACAACATATTTAACCATGTTAAAATTAAGGAGATTAGATTTGGTGTTTACATTGATTGGAGATCCTTTAAAAATGTTATTAAATGATCTTAAATTTGAATTTGGGGAAAATATGAGACATACAGATATATTTTAGAAAAAAATAGACTGAATTTAAAAATGTAACTTAAATATCTTTGTTAATCATTGTTTAGTTGTTATCACTCCTCTTCTTGGATGTCTAGCATGTCATGGTTACAACAAGTAGTGAGTCAATTCAGTGAATTTTAGACAGATTTTAGACACATTGAAGTCAATGGGGAAAACTAATTCTGATGGTCAAAGGGTTTAATGTGACTAAAACACACCTAAATTCTTCTAAATCAACCAATCTCAACTAGTGACCACTAGATATGTTGGAATCCTAAAAATATCACATTTATTCTTGGCTAAGGAATCTTGATAGTGTAGTTTCAAGGTTTATTCTGAGTATAATAGGAAAATTCCAGCCAGCTGCATGTTTTTAATTAAATATTCATGGATTTAAAACAAGTAACAAAGCTTCATTGAAATTAGGAGTAGTAGCTGCAGTAGCTATCAGCTACTAATAATAACATGAACAGATTGGGTAGTAAGTTAAATGTTATTTGCAGAATTAAAAATGCATATGGACTAGAAATATCAAATATAATGCTTTAATTAAAGAATTACAAGTCTAATATCTAAAATTGTTACTATTCATATTTTGTCATATGTCATATCAAACTGTCATATATCAAATATGTGTCATTTCTCAAAAGTCATAAGTTATCAAAACATGAAGTTTTAAAGTTTCAACAATACATAATGCACAGTATGTACAGTACATAATGCAATTCCATGTGATCCATCAGATTTAATCACATTTATCAAATATTTAAATTCAACAGAGTACAGCTATAATAATTTAGAAAAGGCTAGTTTCTTTCATCAACAAAATGTTCAACTTCAAGATGTTTTTATATTTTGAATTGGAGATTACTAGGACTTAAAAATATTGTAATGCTTTATAGAACTCTCTATTACTACCACATTTAATGTCTTACATATCTTTATAATCTTCAAAATGTATTATAGAAGTGAAAAATTGAAATCTTTTGATCAAGGGAAAGAAAAATTATAGAAATCGGTCTCTTTTAGCTTAGAAAAGTGAGTTTGGGGAAAACATGAAAAGGGCTTAGTCAATTATGCATTTTGTCAAAAAGGTGGAGAGGGAGAAAGCTTCAGTTACAAGCTAATCCAATAAAATGACTCCTGGAGGTTCAGAAGAATTTAGAAAAAATATCTCTGCAGAGCACATATTAAATTTTAGAAGTAAGTACTATAAGATGCATTGATGGACCTTGATTTGGACAGCTTTATAAACTGGAAAACCAATGCTCAGCAGATTGCTTATGTGGGCTACATTCTAAAACATTCCCTAGAGACTTTCCAGGATGGCTGTTAGAATTGAAGAGAAAAATCACTAAGTATCATTGCAGATTTTAGATTTTTGTTTTGAAGGGAGAAATGAAATAAAATGTATGAGTTACGTTTTTGCACCACTGAAACTCTGTAAAAAGACTCAGGTCTGGTGATGTCTTTGCTAGGCATTCTCTTGTTCTTAGTTTTCCTCTAGTGATGAGGGAAATGAAACAAAATGCAGCTTCCAGTCTTAAAAGATTTGCATGCTTTTTAGATGAAATGATTAAAGTATCTACTAGCCATATATTAGCCATGTGGTCAATTTTGAAGGCATTAAATTCAATAGCAGTTGCTAGGGAATTTGAGCTCCTGTCTACAGAGAAGAATTTAATGGGCATTTGAGGTGATTCTATGATGGCTCTTACATACACACACACACACACAAACACACACAAACAAACACACACACACACACACACACAAACATATTTGGTTTGGTAATTTAAGCTTGGTAACATAAAGTTAATTTAGTCCTAACTGGAATTACCTGTGGTATCATGTTCAATAAAGATAAAGCTATCAGATCTGGATTGCAGACATCTGGATAAATGCTAGATGGGAATAGAATAGAATAGAATAGAATAGAATAGAATAGAATGATCTTGGAGGTCTTATAGTCCAGTCCCCTGCTCAAGCAGGAGAACCTGTACCATCTCAGACAAGTAACTGTCTAGTCTCATCTTAAAAATCTCCAGTGATGGAGCACCCATGATTTCTGGAAGCAAGCTGTTCCACTGGTTAATTGTCCTCACTATCAGGAACTTTCTTTTAATTCCAGGTTGCTTCTCTCTTTGATCAGTTCCCAACCATTATTTCTCGTCCTTCCCTCCGGTGCTTTGGTGAACAACCTGACCCCTCTTCTTTGTGGCAGCCCCTCAAATACTGAAATACTCCCTTATTTCTTCTTTTCTTTAGACTAGCCAAACCCAAGTCCCACAGCTGTTCTTCGTATGTTTTAGTGTCCAGGCCTTTGATCATCTTAGTTGCTCTTCTCTGAATTTTTTCCAAATTCTCAGTATTTTTTTTTGTGATATGGTGACCAAAATTGGCTGCAGTATTCCAGGTATGGTCTTACTAGAGTTTTACAAAGCGGTACTAATACTTCATGTGATCTTGATTCTATGCCTCTGTTTATATAACCCAGGATTGTATTGTTTTTTTTGGCTGCTGCTGCATATTGCTGGCTCATGGTTAAGTGATCGTGCACTAGGACTCCAAGGTCCCTCGCACAGTTACTGTTTTTAAGCCAGGTCTTGCCCATTCTGTACTTGTACCTTTAATTTTTCCTGCCTAAATGTAAAACTTTTTTTCTCCACATTGAAACTCATTTTGTTGGATAGGGCCCATTGTTCAAGTTTGTCAAGATCTTTTTGGATCCTGAGTTTGTCTTCTGGGGTATTGGCTATTCCTGCCAGTTTGGTGTCATTTACAAATTTGATGAGTTGCCCTTCAATTCTCTCATCTAAGTCATTGGTGAAGATATTGAAGAGTACTGGGCCTAAGACGGAACCTTGTGGTACCCCACTTCTTACTTCTTTCCATGTGGATGTAGTGCCATTGAGGACTACTCTTTCAGTATGGTTTGCCAGCCAGCTATAGATCCATCTGGTGGTGATGTTGTCTATTCCACCTTTTTCTAGCTTACCAAGGAGTAGGTTGTGGTCTACTTTATCAAATGCCTTACTGAAGTCTAAGTATATTATGTCCACATATTTCGCTGGTCTATTAGTTTAGTCACTTTGTTGACGAATGAAATAAGATTGGTTTGGCATGATCTGTTTTTAACAAGCCCATGCTGGCTACTAGTTATAACTTTGTTTGCTTCTAGTTGTTTGCAGATCTGTTTTTTGATTATCTTTTCTAGTATCTTCCCAGTTATTGATGTTAAATTGATTGGTCTTTAGTTTCCTGGGTCCGTTTTTCCCCCCCCTTCTTGAAGATGGGAACCACATCAGCCCTTTCCCAATCTTCAGGTACTTCCCCAGTGCTCCAGGACTTTTGAAAGATGTGGTGCAATGGTTCTGAGATAACATCTGCCAGCTCCTTCAGAACTCTGGGATGTAATCTGTCAGTCCCTGGTGATTTATATTTGTCAAGGTCGGATAGGTGTTCTCTTACCATTTTCTTGCATATTTTAATTTTTGTTTCTAATTTGTCTTTTACAGTGGTTTTTTTTTTTTTTGGTATGTTGGGCTATAGTTTCTTTTTGTGTGAACACTGATGCAAAGTAGAATTAAGCAGCTCTGCTTTCTCTCTGTTGCCTGTTAACATCTTCTCTCTTTAGTGGACCTACAGTTGTTGTTAATATGTTGGAAGACAGTTTTTTTTTATTATCCACGATTTCTGTTGCAAGTCTTTGTTCATTCTGAGCCCTTGCTTTCCTGACTTCATCTGTGCATGTTCTGGCTGTCTGCTGATAATCGGCCTTAGTTATGTGCCCCAGTTTCCATTTTTTGTATTTGTCCTTTTTGTCTTTCAGTTTGTCAGAGAGATCTTTGTGCAGCCATGATGATTTCTTCTTGAATTTCTTGTTTTTCTTTTTCAGTGGTATTGTGCAGGTCTGGGCTTTTATGATTGCATTTTTCAGAGTTTCCCACACTTCTTGGGTTGTTTCCCCCTTTAGGATTTTCATCCATGGGATCTTTCCTAGGTTCTCTCTGAGTTTGTTAAAGTCAGCTTTTTTGAAATTCAAGACACTGGTTGGATTGTTTTCTGTTGCTAGTGTTTCCGTTATATTAAATTCCAGTATGATGTGGAGAGAGATAGAGCATCTGAGACATGTTAGATGAAATAAATGTATTTAAAAAGCTAGTGTACTTATGTTATTTTTAAAAGTAGGCTCTATGATTCTGGGAAGAAAATGGTCCAGAGAATTTGTGTAGCTTCTGACATGCAAGCTGATCTTTGTGCTTCATGGTTAATTATGAGCCATGAAATCATTTTTGACTCCTACCTAACACACTGAAAGATTTTCTCCATGATGATTTGTCCCTAATATGGTCCCCCAGGTCTTCCAATGGTGCACCCATCAGTACTATAACTAAATCCATAATGCTGTTGATAAATTCTCCAACCTTATAGGGGAGGAACAGATGGGGAGGAACAGATGGGGAGGAACAGATGGGGAGGAACAGACTCAGGCTCAACCCTTCCAAGACCGAGTGGCTGTGGTTGCCGGCACCTCGGCATAGTCAGCTGACTCCATCACTGACTATAGGGGGCGAAATTTTGGCCCCCTCAGAGAGGGCGCGCAACTTGGGAGTCCTCCTGGATTCACGGCTGACATTGGATGACCATTTGTCGGCCGTGACCAGGGGGGCGTTTTATCAGGTTCGCCTGATTCACCAGTTGCGACCTTTTCTGGACCGGGACGCCTTGCACACAGTCACTCATGCTCTCGTCACCT